CTCCGGTGGAGTCATCTCGTTTCCGGCTCCCGTGGAGTCATGTCGTTTTAGGCTCCGATGGAATCATGTCATTTTCGGCTCTGGTGGAGTCATGCTGTTTTTGGCTTCGGTGGAGTCACGTCGTTTTCGGCTCCAGTGGAGAGTCATCTCGTTTTCAACTATGGTGGAGAGTCATATCGTTTTCAGCTCCGGTGGAGTCATGTCGTTTTCGGCTCTGGTAGAGTCATCTCGTTTTCGGCTCCGGTGGAGTGATCTCGTTTTAGGCTCCGGTGGACTCATCTCGTTTACGGCTCCGGTGGAGTCATGTTGTTTTTTGCTCCAGTGGAGTCATGCCGTTTTTTGCTCCGATGGAGTCATCTCGTTTTCGGCCATCTCATTTTCGCCTCCGGTGAAGTCATGTGGTTTTCGGCTCCGGTGGAGTCATCTCATTTTTTGCGGCTTCGGTGGAATCATCTCGTTTTCGGCTCCAGTGGAATTATCTCGTTTTCGACTCATTTTTGGCTCCGGTGGAGAGTCATCTTGTGTTCGGCTTCGGTGGAGTCACATCGTTTTCGGCTCCGGTAAAAAGTCATCTCCTTTTCGACTCCAGTGGAGAGTCATCTCATTTTTTGTTCGGTGGGTGGAGAGTCAGCTGCTAATTTTATTTATGTTTTCTTTTTGTGTTTGTATTCAAATTTCTTATCAAACTCAAGTTGGTTTCTGTTATACCACTTGAGTTTGAGGGGGATGTTGAGATATTTTAGATATTCAGTTTTAGATTTAGTAGATTTATATCTAGATTTGATCTTATTCATAGATTAGATTACTTAGATTTGAGTCTATCGAATCTATTTTGTATTTTCTATATATAGGCTCCTTATTTTGATGATCAATAACACAATTTTATTATTTTCTTCCAAAATTTCTAACAATAATAATAAAATAATATAAATAATAATAATTCAAGTTTGGTTAGCAGTTGAATTTTTAAGTTGAAAGTTAGATTAATTAGAAATAATTTATATAATTAATGGAGTATTTGATTAATGATGTAATATATACACTACAAAAAAATAATATATTTGTAACGAAATTTTGTCCCTAAAGTTCACGTAGCTAACGTAATTCTATTACTAATTCCGTTTTTAATGTCATTAGTAATAAAAAAAGTAGATTTAGAGACAAAAAAATTTTGTTAAAAAAAATGATTTTTTCTTGTAGTGATATAGAATAAAAAAAAATTAAAATATATATCTGAATATTTTAAACACTATATTTCCATAAAAATATAAAAAATTTGAATATAATTTTATATATAATAAAATTTTATATAATATACACAAAAAACCAAAGAGTTTGTTCCTTTGTATTTTGAGATGCCAGTGTTTTTATATATATATATATATATTAGATATGTGTAATTGTATTGGTATTATAAAAAATAATATTTTATATTTAATTATTAATTTTTTGCTAGTAATAAAAAATATATATTATGTTAATATGCGTATATTATATATATTCTTTTAAAAAAAATATTTATAGAGAATCGTTACCTCTAAAAATGCTAATGAACAAACCCAAATAAATACAAATAGTTTTTTTAATGATTAATATAAATTGGAGATGAGAGTGTAGTCCAAATGCCGAAGCCTTCGGGGATTTGATTCCCATCTGCCTATTCTCCTCTCCTATTTCTTCTTTTGTATTCGTGGCGTGGAAATCTACACTCTATCCTTTAAGCCATAGCTTCGGCTATTATTTCAATCAAAAAATATAAAGTAATTTTATAAAAATACGAAAATTTTTAAATATATATAAATGTATTTTTTTATTGAATCGTAAAATAAAAAAAATTTGAGCGAGTCCCATCCACATTGTAATATTTGAAAAAATAAATTCGAAAATATAGTGACAATGCCAACGCACATTTAACAATCTATTTTTATTATATTCAAAGAATATATATATGTATATATATTTAACCACAATAATTTGAAATGACATTGATACCCTTCATAATTACAAAGTATTAAATTTGGATGGTGTTATTTTATTCAATTCTAATGAAGAATAATTATTTCAACAAATGCAATAGTACTTTCATCAGTTATGCCACAGATGTAACTAACCGTCAGTTTCGTTAGTTGAAACTGCAATAGTTTAAACGCATTTTATTTATTTATTATTTTTAAATATATATATATATGTTAAGTGGTGAACACACAGTTTGTTGTCACATTATTATGAATCACATACTTAATGGGTAATTAATTAAATAATTTGTGTCACTATCATTAGGGAATCATTCAATTAAATTTTCTTTTGCAAAATTTGCCACTAATGTGTACTCCCAACTAATGTGCCATTTTAAAAATCTCACTGTACATTAATTGAGGCCAACTATCAACAAATCATTTGTAGAAACAACAATATATATACAAACAATTTTGAAATTGTAACAATCTTGCTGTCAATTATTATTATTATTATTATTATTATTATTATTATTACAATTCCATCTAATTCTAGTTAATTTTCAAAAAATACCCATCTGAAATTTATTCTCGAATAAGTATGGAGTTTGTTTGTATAAGAATTCTCTTAATATTTAATATATCAGATTTTTCTTCTAAAATATTTTATATAGTTCTATTTTATTGTTTAAAATATTAGATCTGATAATTATTTACATTAATATATATAAACATAACTAAACATACAATAAAAGTTTTTATTGATGAACTGCCAAATAAAAAGATGCATCATAATGATATACATGTGTTTGGCTTGTGCCTCTATTTTGTATTAAAATAGTGATTTAATTTAATATTTTATTAAAAAATAAATTATAAAAAGAAATTAAGATAAACAAAAGAGAATGTTGATATCCAAAGTGCCTTCTTTTGGTATTTCTTTTGTGTTTTTATTTGAATTTTTGTGCAACATAAATTTGGAATTTGATATATATTTTTTTATTGAGAAATTATATATTCTTATATGGTAATATAAAATTGTACAGTAAAAAATTAAAATAAGGAACAAAAATAGTACTAATTCTCTTAATTCAAGTTGTTCTATTTTCTCTTCCCATAAATAACTCATTGGATTGTTTGCTCAATTTACGATTTTCAATATATATATCTTATTATCTCGCAAATGTCAATATTCAATACATAATCAGTATATAAGTACTCAAATATAATATCATCTATATCTAACTCCCAAACCTCACCACTAATTATAGTTTAATTACATATATATATATATAATTGATTATGTTCTTTTAACATTTTAGAAATTTTTATCGTTAATTATTGAAAGTATCATTAAAATATTTATTTTTGGTATTAAAAAACCAAACAAATTAGGACAAAAATATGATCCTATTTTTCAACCCTGTTATTCTCCTATACATACTAGGCTGCTATTCTAGCATGTCTTTTTTGTTATTATATATTTTATTATAATATTTTATAAATTATTATTGGTAAAAATTAACAAATTCAAAACCATATATATATATATATGTTTATAAATTTAAGGGAGTGCTTGAAATTTTGAATTTATAATATTATTCAAGTTCAATTTAATTTTTTTTTTGTTTGGAATTAGATCAAAAATCGAATGGACTGGCTAATCAACATATATTACAGTATAATGAAACTTATCCCCCAAAAAATTAAATTAAAATTGTATATCAAGAAATAATTATAAAAATTGTAATTTAAGAATTCACTAAATATTATTGCATGTACACAAATAAAATTTAAATCCGTTAATTAATAAACATAACAAATTTGAATTAATATTCATGTGGACCACATCCATTTATAAAACAAAGTTTAACATATCACTCATCAAACAAAGTTTAAATAAATAAGAATGTATGTTGTGTATACATAAATATTTTTCATATTTTGATACGTAACCCATATATTAAATATATGGGTATTTGAGTTGAATATGAATTTTAATGAATATAATTATGTAGATGGATTATAATATAAAGTAGAAGTATTTTAAAAAGTATATATGCGAGCTAATGAATTTAGAGAAAAATCTTATAATACAAATATAATGAAATTTTTGTATGATAAATTATATAAAGATAAAGATGTTTTTAATGTTAGATACAATAATGCAAAAGGTAAATACTCCCTCCGTCCCAAAGAAATGTCTTGTTGGGAGTTGGTACGAGAATTAAGGAATAATAGTATTTAATTAAAAATGAGTATAAAGTAGGATGTAAAAAACTATAATGTCCTTGCTTTTTGAAAGATTTTAAAAAATAGATTAGAGTAATAATTATGGGTAGTTTGGAAAAGTAAGAATAATTTTGTTATAAAGTGGGGACCACAGTTACTAAACAAGGAAATAGGACAATTGTTTTGGGACGGACGAAAATAAAAAAACAAGCCAACTCTTTTGGGATAGAGGGAGTATAATTTTTATTATTGGACGAAGGAAGTATATATATATATTTTTAAGACAAATTAAAAAAAAAAAAACATAAAATTGATAGACAAGTAGAGTATTATTTATAAATATTAATTTTTATTTTTTTTTTCAATATCATATTAAATAATTATTTTTCACAAACATATAATATCAAATAACTAATTTTACTTAGTTCCAAAATTTTATAATAGTACTTCATAACTTAAAGAACTTTTATTTAAACAAAGCCTATATTATTAAACTTTCATTGTATGACTATTACATAGTCTTATTTCTAAAATATACACAAATAATTCCTCAGCATATTTATCGTTTCCCAACAACAAGAAACAAATTTTGGACTTAATCAAACAAGAAGTCAAAGAAAATGAGAAAAGAATTAAATCAATTAGGACCCTAAATAAAGAAATAAATAAGAATAAATTATTTTAATTAATTAATTATAAGCCCCACCAATCACATCCTCTCAAATCAATTCCAAAGTCAAAAGACAACCACCTTCCCCACACCCTACAAAACCACCCTTGCCCTCATCCTAATTTCCATTGCCAATCAAAACACTTAAAATGTTTAGCAAAAAATTTGGATCAATGAAGAAACTAGCCAAGAAAGTGAAGTCCATAGGCACCAACATTAATTCCTCAACCATGGAGCCACCATTGTTGTCCAACCAAGAATCCTTGCTCAAGGTTACTGGTGATTACGGCGGCGGCGCCACCTCGACGCCCACCGGGACATTCCCGGTGTATGTGGGCCCCGACAGGCAACGGTTTGTCGTGCCCACGAGCTACTTGTCCCACCCCTTGTTCAAGATGGTGCTCGACAAGGCTCACGACGAGTTCGGGTTCCACCAAAGGGACGGCCTCGTCGTGCCATGCAGCATCACCGCCTTCCGGGAAGTGGTCGCCGCCATCGAATGTTGCAATGGCCAGTTCGATTTCGGGGAATTGGTGGAGGAGTTTCTTTGATTAGGGAAATGTGATGGACCGATTTGCGCGTGTACATTGGCTCGACAAAAGCGCTCGATATGATCGAATTTGCGTGGTAGGTTTCGACTATATCGTTCGAATACAACTTTGAAATAGGTTACTGTAGATGGAATTTTTGTGGGGGGTCTCAAGAAATGTGATCACTTGTTATTGCAATAGTAGTTCGAAGCTATTTAGAATATATATATATATATATTTTTTTTCTAAATGTTTGATGATTAAATTTTATGGAGAGAATATGCAATTACTTGTTCCGGTAAAGAAGTATATAATAGTGTGATTTTAACCTTGAAATTGTAGGTTAAGGTTCTCGATACTTTTTGATCTTGAATAATTTTCAGGAATTTTATTTATTCAGTGCATTAAAAATGACCTAACAGTATAAAGTGAATTTATGAACGTCTTGGTCTTGTATAATTTGCCTAAAGACGTCACTTAAAGTTGGACTAATTTGACTATATGCAATAGAGTTGCATTAAAAAATTATTTATTTTTCTAGGATATAATGTTTAAATTATTTAAATAAAAAGTACGGACTAGCTAGCTTGACTATTTTATTTTTATTTTTAAACTAATGATTGATTAAACAGTACAAAAAAGAGTATAAATATACTACTAAAAGAAATCTAAGTGTTTACTATGTTTGTTGGATGGGTTGAATTTCCATTGAAGAGATGTTCGAGTTTAATTTGTTTAGTTGTGTATTCAATCCCAAAATTTCACCATATATTTATCGTATATTATTTTATCTCTTTCAAAACTTGATACTGTTATATATTTATTTTTATTTAATATATTAAATATTCTTTTATTTAAAATATTATATTCAATATTTATTTATGCTATATTAAATAGTTATTTTAATTTTAAAAATTATTATTAATTTAGATATGAAATAAAAATTTGAATTTGATTGTGAGTAATTGTATTTTGAATATTTTTTGTTTATTTGATTGTGATTTCAAATTGATTTGAAATGATGTATTGATTTAAATTTTTTGTTCAAATACTATTTTAATATGATATTTTGTGAAAAAAATAATATATTTTTATGAAAAACTATGCAAAAGTGAATATTATTATTTTGTTTTGAAATGCTAAAAAAATAAACATTATGATCTTTGGAATCAATTTTTTTTTTTTAATAAAAATAGAAGTTTCTTTGTATGATGATTTAAAAATAAATTTTATTTTATCTAAAAAACTAATATAAAATAAATATATATTAAAATTATTTATGAAAACCCTAAAAATTATATTTTCTTGATCATATGTAGGCCTTGATAGACACATATCTAAACTATCTAAACAATACACAATAAAATAAAAACTCAATACGGATAAGACCAAATTTAAATTTAAATTTAAGATTTAAAATATTTCTATATCCCTTCAAACTCAAGTGGTACAACAGAAACTAACTCGAATTTAACAAGAAAGTTGAACACAAACACAAAAGACGCAAGCAAAAATAACCATCGCTTGTTCGTCGTTGCCGCCGCCGCTTTATTAAAATTGGGCCTCGTGGACTCACATCACTTTTGGGCCAGGTCTATATTTCTTACTTGTGGGTTAGCTTTCACACACGCACACAAACACATATACATATAGCTAGCTAATAATATAGTCACACTATCCCTCTTTGTTCATTCATCACAAATCTCATTCACTCTTCATTCACAGTGCACACCATCTCCGTTCTCACCTTCCTCCGTACACACACAGAGCACCACTTTCTTGTGGTTGTTCCTTCAACCGGCTTCACTATTTTCCATCACTAATGCCTTTATTTCATATTTGCTTATATTATCTTACTTCCGTTGGTATTTGTCTTGATTTGGTGCAAAAGTGTGTTATCACTACTGATTGCTGGTGCACAAGGAATTTGGAAAGCACCTATACGATCTATAGCATTGGAAGGCTTCCAGTTTGATTGTATCGTTCAATCTTTCTAGTTGTATGATGTTTCAGTCTGTTTGAGATATTATGTGTGTTCCTGTGAGAACACGGTGCCTTTCTTTGTATTGATTCATGCGTAGCCTATTTTTGTTTAAATCATCTGTGATCATGGCGAGCTATGTTAATCAACTCATCTCCTCTGTACACCTTATTGTTGTTCAATAAAAATGACTCAGATGTCCTGTAAGGGGTGGCCTAGTGGTGTGGGGTGGACTAATGACCGTGAGGTTATAGATTAAAACCCCCGACGCCTCCAGGTCACATGCCACACATGGTTCACCTTGTGTGACTTGTCATGTCGGGCTTAGTTTGCAGAGTATTAGATTCGGCCGAGGGTTTACCCAGTGCACACTTTCAGGTAGCGGCTGAGGATTCTAACATCATAAAAAAAATGACTCGGAGTGTAGGTGTTTCTCACTCCTCGTGAAGAATTTGATTGTTAGCTAGGTGTTCTTTTTTTTTTTTTGAACATAGTATTAGAGCAGCTAATATCTTCTCAGTTTCATTTTTTTAGGTATTAACTATTCGATCCTATCATTGGTTCATCGTAAGTTGAATAACTAGTGTTCACTATGAGTGAGAATAACAATCATGGTTCTGGTATGTCCAATAATCCATTCATGGTTAGTCCAAAGGTCTATGATCCTTTGTATCTTCATCTTGCTGATTCAACTAAAGCATGTCTCATTTTATATGTGTTAACTGGCTGTGAAAACTATATCATGTGGGCTAAAGTTATGATCACCGCTCTGTTAAAAAAAATAAGCTTAACTTTATACAAAGTAATGTTTCTAAGCCTTCCGAACCTAAACTGGCTCAGAAGTGAAGTATGTGCAATGCTATGATAATATAACATCCCGGTCGGCTCGAACCTGAATATTACTGTCACATTGAACTATGGGGTTGATTTTACCGAACCGGCCCGTCTAGTGTGATACTAAGGTTTATAATATAGATTTAGATCCATTCTTTATAAAATAAATATATATTTTTTTCTTTTTGTAAGAGCATTAAAAATAAAACACATACCTATGTCTCTACTCGCAATTAAAATGATTAGACCATTATAAATAAGATAATAATAATTAATTAGTTAGTTAGGTGTTCTCAACTCCAAATTAAGCCCATCATGATGTGTAGAAGAAGTCTTTCTCACCCCGATTACCTACAAAATATAGATTTAACATCAGCAAATTGCTGAGTAAGTGGAAAAAAGTTACACAAGTAAATACAATTTAAATCATATACATTTTATAATTTTGATGTTACATGTGTTATGATTACCTCATTGATTCTCCATTATATTTATTCATTTTAAAGATATGATAAGCCGAGAAATAAAAACTCAATCATATAACAATAAAGATTTGATTCCATGTATACTTGTTATACTTCGCATTGCATAAAACCTCTTTTATTCTTTCAATATAATAATTGTTCCATTATTTAATATTGGCAGCAAGTAAAGCCACCCACAACAATTGACATTATCCAGAAATGTTCATGAATATCATCAGTAGTAAGAGACAAGACAAATAAATCAATAGTAATGTCTCTCAAGAAATAATATAGACAACCCGATACAATTCAACAGGCAACGGACCCTAACATCAAAGGCATTACCAACCAGATACAAATAATAGGAGTATGTCAATCAATCACATGGATAGCCGACCTATATCGCCATTAACCATATAACTATTCATGACTCGTGGTAGCGAAGTTTGACCTATCCAGAGATCCATCCCGTGTATAGTATTAGGATTTGTGCACCTGAAGAATCACCCAAAAGTAACCTGAAAACTTTATTCCTCCTCACGTGCCCATTCGAAATCGCGTTTGGAGTTAGCCAATGATCCTGAACTACCGGTAGACCCCACTAGTGATCAATCTGATGAGTGGACCATAACCTACACGATAATGATTAGATAGGGCTATAAATAACCAAATCTAATCCCAAAAGACCAAGCGACACAGGTCAATCGGTTGTCCGACTAACTATCACTACAAAAAAATAATATATTTGTAACGGAATTCCGTCCCTAAAGTTCACGTAGCTAATGTAATTCCATTCCTAATTCCGTCTCTAATGTCATTAGTAACGGAAAAAGTAGATTTAGAGACACAAATATTTTGTTACAAAAATGATTTTTTCTTGTAGTGTATTGTTATTAAAAAATATAACGGTACACCAATATACGTACGTAAGATGATGTCATCGCCAAGCACTACCATACACTGCAAATAACAATAATATACAACAAGTCCACACATAGAAATTATGCTATATATATACGACATGAGATCCATGAAAAAAAGAGCAATGACGAACCAAGTGAATCACATCACTATCAAGCGTACAACAAGGAGGCATAATGTGTTTCGTATTTGATATTGAATCACAACGATACAATTATTAAGCTATCAAAATTATACTTCAAACACGAAAATTAAGTTGTAATTAAGTGAATATTATTCTCATATAATTAATTATCAATTTCGGTAATCAGATTAAGCTAACGAGCTCAACCAATATGATACTACCAGTACATTGTTGTGACCGGAAGCTAACAACCTTTGAAAGCAAAATACATGTCTTATTTTTTTTTCGAGTTAGATTAATGGTTTCATTATCATATAGTATCAGCTGTAAATTTTTAAATATATTCACTTTTATGCAATTTAAATAAAACCATATCAAATTATGAACTTTTTTTTTTATGATATAATATTCTATTGCAATAATAAAAACCTTATACCTAATATCATTTTGACCAGACATATTTTAAAATAAAAATATTTTAAGGTTATGAATAAGCATGTAGGTCTATGATACTGCTAAAATAACTTTTAATTTAAGGTGAAATTTTTCAAATATAAATTCGGAGTTATATCTAACATAATAACTTAAAAATTATCAAAATTTGATAGTTAAATATTCATTTATCAATTTTCAAAGATTTTTTTTTTCAAATACCTGAATTATAAAATAAATAATTTAAATCATATTTAAAATTGTAATTAAATTTTACTTACATCTAGGAATTAACAAATTTAAAATTAAAATTGAACGACGGGATATTTTTCATTCTTTTTTTTTTTCCACTGCTAAATGTTAAAAAGGTGGGTTTGTTTATAATTTACACACACATATATTATTATTATATCGTCATCGCCATCATTATTATCTATC